ATTAAGTTGGATTAATATATTTGAAAACAATGAAGAATATATTTCATAAAAATTTATTTTACAATACATAATTATTACATTAGTTTCATCCCTATCCATGTCTTCAATGGTTGCATCCCGTAAAAAAACTGCAATAGTCTTATTGTACTTAATATGATTATCAAATTAAATGCATATCATAAAAATTTGAAGTATTCTGACCTACAAAAGGAGTCCGTTAATGGTTTCTGCTTGATTCTTAAATTTAATACATTAAAAGTATCGGTATTCTAATTGAATCAATTCAATCTCTAATTACGATAAGTATTGATCACTCTAGAAGACTTAAACATCGTAAAGAGTCTTCGGGGTAGGTTTCCAATACTGCTGTAGTTCCAAAATTAAATGGCACAGCTATGCCGCTATCGATGACTATACCAGCATCATAAGACTGAGACCTTACTGTTAACTTATCACAAAATCCTCGAGGTTTCAGGTACTTTGACACAGGCAAGGCATCTGATATTATCATATCTCTTATGACATAACATAATCTTAATTCATCTGAAATACAAATATAAACATTTATTGAACTTTAAACTTTTGCATTCAATGTAAAATGTAATACATACCAGGACTATAAGCTAAGCTATCATTGAAAGTGCTTGCAATTTTGTCGACCTCTTCTTTACTGAATTGTCTTTTTTCCTTCATGAAACTCAATATCTCTCGTATTGTTTGTGGAGTAACGCTAACTATAGCCTTGTACCATGATGTCGATCCTGTTCCTGTGCTAACACATATACCAGAACTTTTTGTCAAAATATACTTTTCTTCATTATTCAATTTGATTAGCAGAGTACTTGTTTTAGCAGAAAGTGTCTCTGCCACAAAAACCTAAAAATGAACGAAATATTACTATTGTTTGCTTATTAAAGTATGTAACACAAAATTTGTTGTGGCTCACTTCGTTTAACGCTAGCCAAGGCAAACGTCTCTCCTTCGGCAGATTGTATAATACCTCCTTCGATAAATGTTGCGTATAAAGTCTAGATGATAATACATCAGAGACATTTTAACAATCTAATGACTTTAAATCTGTATCATACAAAGAAATGATATAATTTTCTTACTTCTCTCCACCTATAATACGAGCTTTTTCATGGGTATGAAAAGGAGGATCCCAAATGTCATCTCCCATTATTGTTGTCCGGATTCTTCGTCGCATTATTATTTTATAGTTTCCCGCTCTTAGCATTTCGAAAATGTCAGGTATGCAATGTGTATATTTAGGTGGTAACATGAGGTAGCCTTCTGATCTTTCCGGATGCGAATTAATACCCATTATTGGTTTCGTGTTATCAAATATCATATTCGATGCTAACAGCAGCGTACCATCGCCACCAATTGGAAGGATTAGATCAGCCCACGAAAAATTTGAGCTATTTAGATTATCTCTTATTGCACACAAAGAGAAGGAACAATCAAAATGTTGTCAGCACAAAAAGTATTCAATCTTATAAGTTGTTTTACCTATTTATTATTTTATATTCAATGTTCAATTTTCTCAAAACCTCAGTTACTTGATACTTTACATTCTCATTTGATACATGACTAGCCCATATCATATCATAATCCGATCCTCGCTGCTCCAATTTTACTCTTAATTGCTCGTCAGTCATCTCTGGTTCCCGCATTTTTTCGAAGTGGTACCGCGATAACTTCGACACGATAAGTACTCGCTTTGGTACAAAACTCGATTCATTTCGTAGAAATAATCTGAGATTATTACAAACATTGTATTTATGTGGTTGTAAAAATTGTAAAGCTCCTGGAAAAAAATGTAAAATATAAATTAACCAACCGTGCCCTTAAATTAATAAATTGTTCAAACTATTACGTTCAATTGCTCAAACTATGACGTATCAAAAATATTGGTGTATAAATGAGTGAGTAATAAAAACTCGAAAATTGTTTTAAGAAACATTTCATTCACTACCTTGGCTAAGATATACGTACACGTCATTATTACTGCAACTTGTCTTTTGTTTTGACAATTATCAGTTGCAGTCTGTTGACGTGAAATACTCTCATCAATAAAATTTACAAGATACTTAATATTCACTTACTGCCAGATCTTCTTCGAAGATAATTAAGAGCCGTCATCGCATTCTGCTTCAGAAAGGCGATGCACGAAGTACGTACTTACAATTAATATTAGAAAGAACGAAATATTAAGTACTATAAAATCGTTTCTAACCTTTCTATCATCTCTACCGGTATGAACATAGACGTAGATATATTTGAAGCGCAGCCTGTTTTCACGTGAATGAAAATTTCGAATGTGAGTGAGGGGGAACGGGCGAACTAGTGTAGTAATCTACTATGGCGATTCCGAAAAATATAAACCTGTGTAACTTTCGTGATATAATACTTAGAGTTGTGAATAATGAAGAGTAAAAACTGGTGGAAGTAAGAAAAGTTGTTAAGTTAATGAAAAACAATTGAGACAAGTCGTACGCGTGCGCAAGTAAGTGAAAATGAATAAGTTAAACAGAAAACGTTATCGCTTTCGGACCTAAGCAATCGGAATAATTGAGAAAATAAGGTTTTACTGTACAGATACACGCTTCGCTTACATTTTATTAATTCATTTGCAATACATTAATTAAGTCTGTTTAAATAGCATCGAGGCATACCTAACGTGTGCCTTCGTTTATACTATAGACAATCATCTAACTTAAACACACATTCTTCCAGCCTTTCAGTTTTCTTTCTCTCGTTCACTTTTACACGATACATTTTCTCTCTTCGTCTCCTCATATTCGTCTTTTCATTTACGCGAATTTTCTCGTTTCTCTTTAATTCCGTTACATTATCGATATCACTTGATATCGTTATTGTTATTACCATTGTCTCATTATCATTATACCATATAATATATCATAAGATCGACGTTAAAAACTAAAATTCGTATAAAAAGCGTCGTTATTCATACTAATAATATAACTGTACTATTTAAATAATAATTAAATCTTAAAAAATTATTTATTCTTGTTGTTGTTGGTAATGGTGGTGGTGTGTCTGAATGTATGAGATGTCTAATGCATCGACTATAATACGAGGGTGCAAGGCGTGCATAATGTGATGTATACATGTATTCACATGTATACCTATACGCTCATGTTCGACGTATATCCTAAGAACTTTCGGTAAGATCGCGAAATGCCCCGATAATGCGCTCACATAGTAGACTGTACAAGAGCGTATTTCGCATATTTTATTACTAAAAATCATTGATAGTCTAAAACGAATAAAAAGAACAACGATAAAACATACGACGATTATAATTAAACTGTAGAAACACAAAATTATAATACATTCATATAGCAGCAGTATTTGGAAATCAAGAATTAAAATAATAGCAAAAGGACGCGCGTTTTTATTCATTACGATCTTACCGATATCGATAATTCTTAGATTACGTCGGGACAACGGTACATCTGTATTTAGCCGCACCCAGCATATTTCTGTAATCATTTTCTCACGTTGTATCGTATCTCACGCGGCATTTTATAATCTAGCTAATACTTTTATATACTACGAATGTTTAGCACATATCACTACGGTCGAACCATTTCTCGCTTTCTCGCTCTCTTTCTCTATTACTCTCTCTCTCGCTCTCTCTCTCTCCCTTCTCTTTAATCTTCGTTATTACATAACTATTCACTATTACGATCAATAATGTACATCAATTACATAAAAAACAAGATATCGTTGACGTTCTCGTGTTAATCGTTTTATCGTCGTGCGATGGTTACATTCGCGAAGGTACCGCGACTTAGTTACTTAATCGAAGAACATTACTACCGACACGATCATCGATGTATGTTCTTGCAACGCCCTGACGCACGAGATTTCTTTAAAACTTGTTTCTTTGTTCTTCGTCATCCCGGGTACACTGCACGTGAAATATTACATCACTATAATCCTATCGAAAAATCGAACATCGCTTAAAAAACTCGCGTATCATTACGAACAATCAAATAACGAGGTCCAGTTTGTTGGAATCTGGCATGGATAGAATTCGATGACACTTCTTACAGCGTAGTGTACCACTTATACACCGTTTAGAATAAAATAGTTTTAATTTTAAGAAATAATTAAAAAGAAGCAATCGTTCATTGCCTTGTCTTATAATTCGTAAATCTTTTTCTTCATTAGAAGCGACTGTCATTTAACGATACAATTCTGTATAGTTCTGTCCGCGATAACTGAAATTTTATTGATTTTAAATTGTATTAATGTAATGATTGCAGTACTAGATTTAGGCACGATAAACTAAATTTATTCATGTAAACATAAGGTCACGAGTCTCATAAAAATTTACATTGAGTTATTTATTCCGGTGAAGTGTCTTATTTAAGCTCATGAGTTAAATATAAATAAATAAGGTGAATGCGAGTTAATAAAAATGAGGGTTAAAATCCGTGGAATGGTATTAACTCCATTTACAATTGGAACATCAACTTCGCTATTCGCTTGTCATGTTTTCGTTTATCTTACAATTACAGAAAATGTTACCCTTATCGTGCTGATGTCTCTCGTGGGCAGAGGTGTGTTTTATGTGAGCGTTACATATGTTCCGTGTGACATGACTATCTATATATAGTATACATATACACTATATTCATATTTATACATTTATATTTATATATACCTCTTCTTTTCTCACGTTCATTACTTTGCAAAATAGTTCTTTTGCCGACACGTGTCAGCTTTAAGCCTGTATAATACAATCGCAAATTACAACTTGTTCACTTAGGCAAACTTTACTCGTTTCCTTTTTTGCTCGGTAAGTACAGTGACCATCTGCATTATGTTTAAATTTCTATTTGAAAATCGAAAGGAATTCGGACACTTCGAACGATTAACATGCGTATAACACGCAACGGGTACTTTAGTAGATCGATCTTAAGAACCTTCCAATCACAAAATAATCTATATGTAAAATCAGCGGCATCCGTGCCGCCATAAAGTTTTTCTTTTTCGTTTACGTTACTTTACAATTCTTGTAAAGTTCGCTAAAAACACAACTAGTATTTCGTTCGATAAAAGTATTTTCGACGAATGTGATAAAATTGTTGTCAATATTAGCGAGTTTCTGAGTCCGTCCTCGACACTACGAAAAGGAGAAGTACAAGCCGTTAAAAAACATTCGCCTCCGTTGAACTATCTCGAGTATTTTAAAGAGAAGCGGTCACACGAACCTTGGTTACGGGGGCGAGAAGACGAGTATAAAGACGAGAATGTGAACACACGCACGTAACGCGACCCGCACGAAGATGTATACTCGTATTTTTGGAGTTTCATTTTCTTTTCTCTAGTCGAATTTAATGGTTGTTCCGGTCGACCGCTAAAACGAGGCCGACGAAGAACGAAGAAAAAACAGAGTCTCGCCTCCTCATAATCTCTCTTGACGATTGCCAATGAATATTTTGACAGAGGAGGGCTCTTCTATCCTCTAGTAGTAGAAGTGTGCAAAACTGTTGCACGTGTTGCGAGAGCGAGCCGATCCTCAGCTATGCGTTTGCGGAGGGGGTGGTGGTGTGCCGGTAATTTCGGTCCAGCGCATTTCGAAGAAACTGCGCATTCCGTGTCCGGCCTTCCCCACCGGACTGTCGTCCTCGTTGAATACCTCGCAGTTGATGAACATCTGTCTGACATCAGCGCAAAACTCATCGCGAGACTTGTACCTGTATCGAGAAGCACTCTTTGGAACACATGTTCGGAATTTTGTTTCCATTTTTTTTTCAAGCTGACGATCAAGTTAGAGCAGTTTTTTGCTAGATATCTTAGGTGAACTATTTTTTGTTTACTGTTTAGGGAAAGAGGCGTTTCTAAATAGAGAGAGAGAGAGAGTGTGTGTACGTTCAATTAACTAGTAGTCGTTGGTAGTGGTTGGCGTGTAACTTACACGGAGTCCTGCAATTTCTTCTTGATCGTACTGAGATCCATGGGCGTTTTAATAATTTTCTTGTAAGTCGGAAACTGTTTGGTGTTCACCGGCAAGAGAAACGGCCAGGCCTCGTCCTGTTGCTCCAACTGTTCGAGTAGCACCTTACACGGAGCCAGTTCTCGTTGCTGTTTCTTCGTGAGCGTCCTATTGTTTCCCTCCTTCCGTGGCGAGGCAGTCGGGGTTGCCGGTTCCGACGAACTGACGTCCTCTACGTGCGTGTTCGATGCCGTTGACGGCGTTGGACTGCGACGCAAAACAACACAGAAATTATTTGCACGATTAGCTTTTTCCGTTTGCAGGAGGTTTTGTCCGTCATTAAAAGCTTCTGGACGAATGCATTAAGACCCGATTGCGTGTTTTTGTGTTTCTGCTTGAGACGGGTACACTTGTTATCGATGGAACACGTTTCGTCTTTCTGACTCTTGCTCTTTCGTTTTTCTATACGGTCTCGCTTTTTTCTCTCTCACTTTGTGCCCTTCTATGGTTTATTATTTTGTAATTTCTATATATTCAATTAATGACAGAACCTGAAGACAGCTCTATCGATACGACGAATTTTCTGAGAAAATACCCATCCCATAGTCGGTGATCGTAACACGCTGTACGAAGTACAGGGTGTCCCTCGACGAGATGGCATACAATGTTATATTCACAGGATACATATATTATGTCGCCGCTTAAACGAGGGGAACCTACCTATTGGTGATTACTTTTATTAAGTAGAAGAGCACTAAATATGATCGACCTATCGTGGAACACCCTGTATGGAGTGAAATACTTTCTTATAACAATAATTTTCGATGATTATGAACAGTACAGTTATAATCGCACTGATAGCAACGTTGTATATGTGCCTTTTTAAGAAGCGATCTTTTTCTGTGTTTTATTCGATCGGAAATTTTTTACTCATCGTATTTACGTTCATTCAACGTTATAATTGAATCATATTTTCGTAGCTGTTTTCCCTATTTTTATACTTCGTATGAGACGATGTTAAGACAGCGACTTGACAATGTTTGCTTTTTTTTTAACGTAATCACCTAGCTGGTGGATGATCAGAACTTTCACTTTCTCTGGTGCCTCCTCCTTTGGTATGACTCCTTCGACTACTATTTCTCTTCTTTGGTTGTTTACTGTGGCAATTAGAACAATACCATTTCCCCCTTGGCATCTGTGGACACAAAAGGCAAATTAATCAAACGGATTCTATCATCTCATTGTAACGAAAACACGAAGAATTAATGCGTAATTACTTTTGGCATAACTGGATTGTGGCAGTCAGTGTGATAAGCCCGTGGACAGAGTTCGCACAGCACTAAGTTTTTCCCAACTCTTTTTCCGCATACCAAACAGTTTCGTTCCCCTGTTGCTTTGTTCATGCATTCAAAACAATACCTGAAACAATCACGAACGTCCAATTGTAATTAAATATTTCATTTGTGCCAAACATTAAAAACGCAACTCTTACCAGTCACCATCAGGAATGTTCTCCATTTTTGGACGGAAACAATAAGTATGATAGCCGCGGTCACAACCATCACACAGTAGTAGTTTATCTTCGTTATCTCCGCTGTGACAAAACTGACAATTCTGCAACAGAAAGAGACAACTTTCCGATTTAAACAAATGAAACGTGTTGTCCACAGTGAATCGACTTTATATCAGTTTTCAGCGTTTGATATTAAAGCAGTTTAAATTAAACACCATCAATGTAATAAATGTTAATTAGCAAAAAATATAATAAATAAATGGGGATAAGCCAACTTTCATATATACTTATTACTAAATTAATTAAAAGAATTAACGCAAAGCATATTTTTGCATAATTTTAACTCTATCATATGCAATATTGATCATGACTTAATTATATCATACATAGGCAAGGATATAGTAACATAGTACTGGGATAATAAGATATTTCTTTCAGGTCTAATTAAAAATTATGCGAATTTTAAAAACGGTTAAAATAACAAAATACGAAAGCATGTCTACGAAAGGAAAAATATAAAGCGTTAAAGGAACAAATTAATACATTATAAGCGGCATATCTTTTTGCATGCTACCGTTACGTTAAACTCTAACCACCATTAAATTAATTTATTCTTCTCTTAAATTGTAGCAATTTTTGTTGTTGAAAATGTTGTTAATAGTGCAATTTTTATGAAAAATATCGGGTGAAGCATTAGGCGTATCACGATCATCAAATTGTATTATATTAACTAATTGTTTCACACTTCAATAATTTACAACTATGACTGCCGCATTATTCGCACTTATAAGTCTTCACAGACTTGTATTCATTTTTCACAAATATTAGACGTAAATATATCATGGAAGGTGCCACGCGAAGAGCATTTCGTTTAACCAATTAAAATCATTACCAAGTATTAAAAGCGATATGCTCTCTGTGGTTGCAAAAGGAAGGGCAAAGAGATTTACGCAGGAAGTAAAAAAGGAGACTTTGGTTAGTAAGTTAGTGCGAATACCCACAGAGGTCTGAGAAGTAGTCAATAGCTGATTGTACTGAGTGGTAGCTTTGAGTGAGACGCAGCGGTTTCGTAGCTTGACGCAGACCGAGTTTCTAGCTGGTGTTAGACTCACAGCCTTCATGATGCTTTTGTCCCAGGCGATGCTGGCCTCCAACATATAAAGCGCCATAGCAAGCTGGGCCGAGGTATGTGCCCGGGCCGTTGCTTCTCGCCAGGTGTTCAATCCTCTCGGAGTTGTTTCTTCTTGAGGCACCGGAGTCTGATTGCTCTGATCCGAATTATTTGAATTTGCGTTTGCTGCTGCCGCTTGTTCCGCCTTTAAAGCCGCTAGATTTGGATCACCCGTGCTACAATTTTAAATACATAAAATTGATGATTTTAGATAAACAGAATTTAATAAATTTAAGATCTTTGAGTATTTACCAAACGCCTAATGGTGGCTTCAAGTATCTCCTTTCAATAGCAGCTTCCAGAGACAGTAACCTTTGTCGCGCTTGTTCAACTGCGCTAATTTTTTCCATTTCGTTCAATTTTTCAATTTCTTCAGCCTCCTCGGTTCCTGCTCGTGGTGGCAGCTTCCAGCCTTTGACCTGCATGCTGGCATTCGCGACCTTATCCTCAAGAGCTTCGACTTGTTCTAAGAGTTGCGCGTCCACGCGTAATGCGACCTGTTCGCTCCAATCCTCTGGATTGTCTGGTTGCGGAATCGGAGTATCAGGTTCGTCAGGTGTTGCTTGAAGTTCAGTTGCAGTAAGATTGCCGGGGTCCACGTTGATTTTTCCCGTGACGGCTAGGAAGGATTCCATGGTCGCCCATGTTGTACGTTTCAATTCCTTTTCGCGAACACCGCGTGAATGAAGGTGCTCTAACAATTCTTGAAACGTATCGACATCCGTTATTCTCCACCAACCATATCGCAAATCTCTGGGTACTGGTTTCGCTTCGCCAGGAGGTGGCAAACCGTGTACTTTTAAGTATTCAAGTTGCGTTGCCTCGTCCTGAGTTAAAATCAATGGGGCAGGACTGTCGCATCTATCATAGTTCGGACTAGCTGGCGGAGGGAACACCGGTATTCTTAGTTCGGTCGGTTCGGCTATCCCAAATATCTGTTTAGTGCTCGGTCCTGGAGTATCGCAAGTCTCACGAGGCAAGATCGAGAACCAGTTGGGTTCATTGCTACTATTGGATATAAAGGTGCCGTTCAATTCCTTCCCATTGTGCACATTGTTAACGTGATTATACTTATCTCCGTTCGGTATCGTCTCAACAATTTTATCTTCCATTATTTTCACCGCTGGTTTTATGTCTTCATCCGCTTCCTCATTCTCTTTCTTCGTTTCTTCTTTCATGTCCACGTCCATGCTAACCACTTCCGTTTCTTGTTTAATTTCTTCTGATGTGACGTTCGTCTTCGCGTCAGTCATCGAATTATCTGAATCATTCTTCTTCTCTTCCTTAACGTTCGTCGAATTCTCATAATTTTGCATCGGTTCCTTCTTGCAATTAACGTCTCCAACTTCAGACTTCGTTTTATCTGCTAGAGGTTTCGCTTCTTCCTGCTCGATCGAATTCAGCTTTTTCTCCTCTTTAACATCGTTGGGCGCCTCGTTCTCGCGATTCTCCACTTTGGTGTCCTCTTGTTTCGTTTCTACCAACTCCTCATCCACTGGCATATCTTTGTACTTTTCATCTAATTCAGCCTGTAAGTCTAGAATTTCCGGTTCAGCGCTCTCCATTGCTTCGACGAAAATTCCGCCAGCGCATGACAATTCCCAGTATCTTCTCCAGAACCTATCCTGACCGAATATGTGCGCACGTAACTGTTTCGAAGAACTGTTCAACTTTTGTAACTGTTCTTCCGACTGTTTCAATAATTTATCCAACTTTTTGCCGAGTTCCTCGCCAGACAAATTTTTGTCCTCCTCCTAAACCATGCACAAAAATAATTGTATTAACCATTTATTAAAAAATAAATTAATCGTTTTCATAGAATGTAACCAACCTCTTCAGGTTGAGTTCCTTCGCTCTCATTTTCGGACATATCTTCAACTTCATCTTCGTGATGTATCTCATCGGGAATGGGTGTCGTTCCTACCGCCGTCGACGTCGTGTTACCCTCTTCATCGACTTCTTTTTTCTCTATCGTAATAGTGTCTCCGGTTTTATTAACGATTACACCAACTGCTTCCATCCGTACCTTTCGACTATGTAATTGCCGTAATCTTTGGGACAAAACGCAAAAAACCCACAGAAATGTTTAATGACTATCAAGTCTTTTAATAAAAAAAAATTACTCACTTCCTAATTTTCGTATCCAGAACGAATCTCTCCTTCCTTAATTGAGCCACCGTCTCTAAGCTCCCCTCGATCTGTCTGATCACAGCCTTGTTCTGCAACAGTTCGTTGCAGAGGAACGCAAGCATCTGCGCCTTGTGCGTCGGATTCAACGCCAGGAACGGTTTGTCCCTCAACCTCTCGGACATTCTCCATGTCTCGTTGTTATGCAAGTGCTCGTAGAACTGGGCGTTCTTCCCCGAACAAGTCGAGGCATAGTCTCCACCGTTCTGATGGTGATCAGCAAACTTCTTGTCGCGTTCCCGTTCCAGGCATACACCGGTCAAAGCTTTTACTTCGCCCGTCGCGTTCGCGTACAAGTAGATTCGTAACACCTCGCTGATATTCGCATGCGTTATGTCAGCCTGACGAAGACTCTGTCCCAGGCCTGTTGTGTGTCTCGCTGGTTGAGGAATACCCGGATCCTCGATCGCACACACCAATAGATGCGTCATCACAGACAGGAGTTCCTCTTCCGCTTCCTCGTCGTTGAGGAGAGCCATCTGAAGGCTCTTTAGACTTGGAAGTGATTCCATATCTGGAAGAATGAGGATTATCACTTAAAATTTGTGATTTGAAACATTCCTTAGCAGAACTTCAGTTTTGGTAGAATTATTTCCAGAAGAAAAAGAATAAGTACTTGTCGACAACTCACCGAAGCCCAAAGTCTCGCCGAAGTTATGCAGGAACTCGAACACCATCACGATGTCCGCGAATGCCTGACCGGACAATTTCAGTCCAGGTATTCGTTTTATTTCTGGCAGTGTTCTGTGATCTGTAAAACGGAGACTATAGTACATCGCAAGGACTAGCATAGGATTGAAGCTTCACAAAACTATACCCGTTAGCTCCATGTCCTCGATTGGCTTTCTGATCTGCTCGACCAGTTCCATCTCCATTTTCCTCTGTTCAGCGCGTTTCTCCTTCGTCGCTATTCTCTCAGCCCTCGCCTCCAACCGTTTCTTTTCTCTTTCCTCCATTTTTCGACGATTCTCTAACGCCCGAACCAGTGCCATGTGCTGTCTCCTTCGTTCCCTTTCCTAAAGTATTCAACGAGAACACGAGTGTTTAACGAAACGGAAGGACAAAGAGGCTGCAGTATTCCATGCAGAGAAAGATTCTCTTAGACAGATTCTGATTAGAAGCACAACTTTAGCACGCACGGGCTACGACAAACTCTACAACCGTTTCCAAGATACTCGTTTCAAAACTACCAATTGAGATAACGGCAATCCGACTTTTGGTTTCGTTCAAAAAAAAAGAACACCGTGCAACTGTTCTTTTACCCAACCACACTGCTTTCCAATTATGCCAATATTGATATAGATGTTCAAGGATCACTGTGCTTTAATGTGCACACAGTGTTACACATTTTGCATGTATTCTTTTACGTGAGATGCTAGTGTCTGAATTTTCTTCCAATGCGAAGGAAGCGAGAAAGAATGACTGTATAAATGCAAATGACTGGCGCAAATAGCGTGTTGAGCACGCGTGATTGTCACTGAGGGATATGTTAGTGGATATCTTGAAAAATATTAGTGTTGCTTGCGTTTAATGCGCCATTTCATTCGTCGACAAATAAAAGCAGACCATCGACGAATCTGAGAGTGCTGATTAGTTTCAACTTGTGATTCACTAAACATGATAACTTTGAACTCGTCAACCAGTCTACATTCGTCGTAATCGATCGGTTGATGGACCGTCGATCGATCACATCCGCAAGTCTGTTAACGTAATCAATTCTGTTTTTACACCAGATTCCTATTGTTTTATCGTAGTGAGAAGTGCTTTTACGGATATAATCAATCGAACGTCGGGTGAACGATCAATAACGATCAATAACGATCATTTTGGAGTAGACGGTGATAAGTTTAAAGTTCGTGGAAATTCGACTCGTCCTGGTTTAGTGAGTTCGTCTTAATTAAACTAGATTGGGTATGAGACATACCAGCTCGACGGTGTAGAGCATCTCGCGCTGCTTGGTGAGCTCCTGCATGTACATCTGCGGCACAAAACACATCCACAGTCCACCAGTGCTCAAACTACCTCTACACACTCAAAAACTAACAGGTATGTCGTTCTTTTCATCGCGGTTGACATGTGGATCGCGTCGGGAACGAGTTCGAAAAATACGAAAACAAACATATTTTTCCCGTCACTGTTTAAGTTTGCAAGTATTTTTTAACTCAAATATCGTAGGACTGTTTAGATGAAGACTTGTCGAACTATTTAAAAACTTAATTCATACTTTCATAGTGATCAATCAGGTTTAATCAATGAATTTCGCTTCGCAATAATTTTCTTTGAATTTATATTATTCAAACTGTATTTAATATAAACTGTTTATTTCGTACTATTGTTGCGTAAAGACCAAATTCATACCCGTTTCACAAACGAACTAAAATGGAAACTCAAAGCAATCCCTAGGGCTTAGATAGAGCGCGAACCACGAAATCTACGTTTAAAAAACTAAAGAGGCACTTATAAAGTGTATCGTAAAACAAAAACGTGAAGCAAACACGTATAACAGAATTTCGTGGCATAATGTGTCTGTATATTAAAAAGAATAGAATGCAAGTCGAAAGGTAGCTGTATGTATCTCCTCACCGTCGTATAGCTTTAATTTCATACAAGACATCAAACGAGATATGTAATGGAAATCTTAAAAATGAAGAGATGATACCCAAGAAAGTAGCAGCTAATGGTTGCTTAAATTAAAGAAAAAAAACTAATAAAAGAAGTTAATGAACCTGTACCGAATGCAAATGATGAATGGTATTCTTTTAAATGATGTCGCTTTGGGAGATTAGTAAATGAACCAATGAGCGAAGCGATGTGGAGATAAAAAATATATAATATGAAACAATAACTAATATCTCTACAGAGAGAGAAATAGAGAGAAATAAACACGCACACACGCGCACACACACACCGTCTACTCTACAGCAACGACACGATCTATGAAAACTGTTGCAAAACTCCCTTAGACTCACCTGTTCTTTCAGCATAACCGCCTGCTGCCGCTTCAGTTCTCGTTCCTGGGAAATCACAGATAATGCTCATCGTCATTCTCCTCTCATTCGTTAAACATGATTTTTAAATGTACCAATACCGGATAGATGTTTCTTTAATAGGGAGGACATTGAACAACAACAGACAATGCTGATTTTATAATAAATAAATACAATAAATATATTATTGATTGAAAATCCAACGATAAATTAAATTCCAATTTGTCCAATAAATCTTCCATTTTGAAAATAGATAAACTAATTAAATGAGTAACAAGTAATGCAGTAGATTTTGTTAAAGTAATGATTTAATAATAAAAGTATTTTAATAGCATAAAAATTTGAAATAAATTGTAGTAAGTTGAAAGTTAATTTATCGCCAAATAACGTCTACCCAGATTCGTGAATGAAAATTGCAGAACTCCCAAGTCGATGTTTGCTTTAACAATGAGTGTGATGGTAGGATAGCGGGTAAATGTGAAACTGAATCCTACTACGGAGAGAAACCAAGCAACATGTAACAACGATTTTAGGATTACCTGTTGCTTCCGTTGATGCTCTTCGAGTCGTATCTTCTCCACCTCTTCCTGCCGTTTTTTCCGAGCCTGCGCACATGCCATATACACACGTCACTCGCACCCGTCATTAATTTTTGATGGGTCAAGCTTACACAATGATTTTTTAATTATTTTTTTTTTTTACAACATCCTGAGGAGCTTCATCTATTTCTTTATTTCCTGAATCATCAATGATTCTACTCGTATTAATTGGAGGACATCTAGGTGGACCAATTGATAAAAAAATATATCTGGGATGTTCCTATCGTATCGATTTTATTACTTGTCTTTGTATCGTATGGAATGTGGATCTCCGTAAAAAAGACTCTGTTCCACGACTTTGATTTATTATTCAAATGAATGAGATTCTGCTTCCCTACACTCGAAGAAAAAATTACTGCTTCTGTGTTTTTCGCGATTCGAGCGTTAAGTATCGTGTATCTAAGCGGTCTAGTGGCACAGTGATAGGAATAGGCACTAATCTAGTCTAATATCTAATTTCTCTAATTCATACTAACTATTTTCATTAATCGTTATCTCTTTCAAAACAAAAATTCGCGATCGATCTTCTTCGAAAATGTCTGAGAACCGAAGGATGCATCGTAAAAATAATCCTTCTGACAATTACGAATTTACTGTCAATTAATAACCGAACGAATTTATTTTCCTTAATAAATTAATAAATCCGTGTAAAGTTTCATTTCGTTCACGAATTTATAAGAACATTCATGTTTGTTTAATAATCAAAACGAGATATCTGCAGCGGAACGTATGTAACAACAACGATAAAACGCACGATTCGATGACGAAAACCACCGTCACCAAAATCTACCCCAAAAGAAAAACGAAGAGAGACGAAAAACAGAAATACTGTATAGAAATCGTATACGCATGCTGTTCGTAGATAATGTCGTGATTGAAAAAACGTATATAATATACAGATAACGTCGAGAGTTAGAAAATGAAATTGTGGAGCGAGAAACAGCGAAAGAGAAAACAGCAGCCAAGCAGAAAAGTGGAAGAAGTCGAAATGTTCCGTGTTGGTGGAGAATCGACATGATCGCAACACGAAACTCGCAGCGGTAGGTGAAAAATTGGAGTTCTGTCAAACGAAAACTAAAAGCTCTCATTAACTACGAGGGAGGAGGAGAAAGATATAGAGAAACAGCATATATATTATTAATACGTATATATATATATATAAATTGTGTGTATGATACTTAATAAGTATGTATATATAAAAATGTATATTATAAATCAGAGCACCATAATTTATACAAGAAGATGTAACAAACTTGAAAAGTGTTTTAAGTAGTAGAGAAAAATGTTCCAAGTGTTTAAAAGAGTAAGAACGTGGAGGAAAAATTTGTGAAAGAGAAAAAGAAAAACAAGAATAGAGCGCATGCAGGAGCCAAGCAAATATACTCGCCTTATGTATTATGCACATATTATGTGATTTAATTTACGTGTCGTATCAATCACTGTGAAGCTGGTGATAAAAAAATAGGACCATTGTTAATTAAATCGTGTGTGAACACAAAGAGAGTCTCTTAATTCGTAATCGTAATCACGATTAAACGCTGACAATGATAATAGGAGCGATAATTACAAACGGAGCGTCCAATTAATTAGATTATATTACATGTTCTACGCGACTGAGTTTCGCGGTTCTTGATATGAGGGGCAAGGAAATAAAATGAAATTAAGAGAAAATGAAACTTAACGATAGTGTAGCGAGAAGAGACTAAAGCGCTTGATTCGTACGGACAGCGGTAACTCCATAATCGTATAAAACACGTAAAAATTCGAAAAAAATATTGCATGCTGGATAATCATGTAGCTAGCTGTTATTTTTCGTACATAGTGACAGGAGAAGCTAGGCACAGGATAGCGTTGCGATAGTCGGTATTATATACTTTCTTGTTTTAATTTGTTATCACAGATCCATAGATACCTACTATGCATTCATATGCTGCAAAATACAAGTTCTTGTTTTCTACGCTTGGTGTTTTTGTATCTTGATAACAATACTGATATCGGAGCACAAATCTCGAATATTTCTACACAATCTTTTTTATTATTTAAACAGAATCGGAAGAAAGATTCGATGATTCGTGACTCGTGGCGTATCGTCCGAATTGAGCAACGTTTTAAAATACGAACTAGGTACGAATTTAAAAGTTCAATTTGAAGTTAAATATTCGATGACTCAACACAGCAGTGTAAGCGGAATAAACGTAAACCACTTTATTTATTTAAATATTTAAAACCCTAATTTCGTTTTATATCTCTTCTCTCTCTCTCTCTCTCTCTCCCTCTCATTCCAACACGTATAAAGCTTCAGTGTAAATATTTCGTTAGGTCAAAGTTCGATTTTTTTCGAATGTACAGGACAATTTATACAAAATACACTACTGAAACTTATTCACTTATTCTAAAAGTAGTTTTATAAAAATCGAGCGTATTTTAACGTGATTTTTTAATATTTGCAATATTATTACAAAAAGTATTCTTTTGCTTATAATTTTTAATAATATTTTAACGTGATTTTTTAATATTTGCAATATTATTACAAAAAGTATTCTTTTGCTTATAATTTTTAATATACATAAGCAATTTCACATATTTTTTTACGGTTGTCGTGAATCGCCCTTTAAACCCTGGTCACAGTTTCAACTCCATTTGCTCGCCTTTATTGCGTTTTGCAAAAAACGTTCCTTCCGGGCAAAAAAAAAAAAACAAGAAAAACGGACTCAATTTGGCGCGTGCCAGGGATGTCGATATTGTTATTACTCGACGTGTCTGACCCTATAAAAGCACCGTCTATGTATCCAGATACGCGTTCGCGCGTGTATGAATGTACGTGTGTCGTGTTGTACGCCTACGTGTGTGGTGTCCTGTTTCATTCGATGCATAGTAATTTTAACGTGGATATACTGATGCCCGCGTATCTGTTCGTACCTTTGAAACTATCACAGTTACGTCGTCGAAAAATCTCGTAAAAATCTTTCGAAAAATGGAAAAAGTTGCGCGGAATATCCCGAGAATATACGATGCATGAGAAAATCACTTGACCAGCGGTAAAGTTTAATAGGTCAATAAGAAACAGAGGACACGACGGTGTCGCGTGTAAACCTCAGAGATCCCAGCCGAATAAAGGCAATCTTGACTTTTATGCTTTCCTCGGTAGCGGCGTCACAGGTCTGATCGTATTATCAGGAAATTTCGCTGAGTCGAACGTGGATTTATATGTAGGAATATCGTACTAGCTATTACAAATGCAGACTACGGAGGAAAAGATAAGCGAAGAGTAATATTGTCAACTAGCACGCGGAAAAATAAGAATGAACTCTTACAATTAGCCTGATGTTCGATAGAGAGAAAACAAAACCCCGGATTGGTTAAGGGAAGATTCGAGTGTCAATGGCGAGAGAAATGAAAGAAACGAAAAGAAGATCGATGTAAAAATGGCAATGCAAATGAACGAGAACAGAAAACGCGTCGGATGGTCCGCGTTTGTTTCAAACGGAGTTTGACACAAGAGTTTATATTATTATCTTACCTCTGGTCATCGTCACATCGTGATAGGTATACTTAATCTAGCAATGAACAGAGTGAGTGATGAAATGAGCGAGGGAGAAAGTGACAACGGGAAGGAGCAAAGATTTCGATCACAAAAAAATTGGTGGACGACATAGAAAACCAGGCAATCGTAGTCTTACCTCGTGAGGTCCTTCGTCTGGGTCCTCGTGCAAATCGTAAAAAAACAAAAAATACAGGCACGTGGGAGGGAGGAAATTGGAGCTAGGCGAGTCATAGGGACTACGGTCATACGGGTAACGCTCATTAGTGAACATGAAGTCGATGAGGATTTAATGACGATGTGGGATCGTAGAATGCAGTTTGTGCCCCGCGAAAAGGGGGACTCTCGTGCGCGGGAGGTGAGAGACAGCGAATTCCTCGGAAACAATTAATCGAGAATGCAACTAATGGACAAAGGGTTCGTAGAAGAAACGATGGTGGCGCCGGAATTTCACTTCAGGTAGAAGTTGTATTAAAGTCCTTAATTCTTGGAGAACTTTGATATCTCTGAACTTCAGTATTATTAAAAATTTAAACTGCACTTTTGTTTTCACCAACCATCGTTCCCTCCTGAACCCTGCTCTCTACGACTAACAATAAGTTCCTCGAAGATGACACGCGATGGAAAGTACTCTTCAAGGGGGATGATCGAGATCGGAAAATAAGGGTGTTAATTTCGGTGAGGGGGTTGGGGGTGTTCGGGAGGTGTCATACGACATCTTACCTCCAGAAGCTCCTGACTTTGCGTCTGGGTCTGGGCCTGCTGGGTATTGTCCATGCTGGCGTTGGGGGTGGTGGTGCCTATGGACGTAGTGCTGGAGGTTGGCGTGGAGGGCTGCGTCGACGAGGCGACCGTTACCGACATATTCGGCAATGGGAGAGGCAGCGGCGGCGGCACCACCTGCACCTGAGGCGGCGTCACCACGACCGCGTTGGACAACGTGGTGCCAGTGGTACTGCTGCTGGTGCAGGAGTTGACGGTGTTCAACACCGTGCTGTTCGTGACCAGCGAGGCGACGTTGGCCAGGTTGGACGCCGCCGAGGTCGATTTTTTCACGACCGTGTCCTCCTGCTCTTGGTTGTGCTGTTGCATCATGTCGCGGTTCCTCCAACTCTCCGCGATGCTCTCCCGATTCTTCCAGATGGTGGCCACCGTGCTGCTAGCCAGACCCAGCTCGCGCGCCACATCGCTCTTGCTCTTACCGCGTTCGATCTCTTGGATGATCTTCATTTTCTGCTTGATCGTGAACGCTAGCCGCTTTCGACCCTGCGTTTGCACGTTTAGGGATGCCCAATAATCGATCGTGTTAATCGACGTTACGTGATTACGTAGTGATGGTGGTGGTACGCGTGCGAATGACAATACCCGTCGCTCTTTTCGACGGTGGCGCGCCGTCCTTCGTTCGAGGAGGACGTTCGCGAACGATTTTTTAGAGCGACTTGGGTGAATGATCGTGGTAGTAGTGGTACTAGTGGTGATAGGTGGTGGTGGTTGGATTTCTAGCTTGGTCTCACTGTGAAGAGGATAGGCTGAGCCTTTTTCGAGCTTCGCAACCAACTGAAAGTTGCAACAGAACCAAACTAAGGGGCTCTAAAACTGCGGTATTGCTATTTGTTCAAACACATTCTATACGGTAGCGTCGAATTAAAAAAAATAAATATATAAAAAACAAATTGACTCTTTACGTTCGGGTGAATAAAGAAAATTAATGAAATGCAACTTAAGAAAAACATGGGAATGAAAGTATCGATTATGATCGATTATAAGTGAACTGGGCATCCCTAGGTTGCGTCCCAACTTATCAACTCAATTATGTTCTACGTGATTGCAGTGTTTTCTATCCTTTCGGCTGACGTTCCACTTATTTCTCAAACTTCTCGCTCTGTACGAGTATATTGCGTGTTGCGTGTATGTTTTGAACAGGGTAGATTAAGTAGATATACACATGTCATATAAAGTGCGTGTGAGGGTGGATGCAAGTGAATGCGAGGGAATGAATGATCGAAAACGAGTGACTGAGTGATTGAAAAGGAGGTCTGTGGTCGGTGTGTCTCGGTTTTTCAGGCGAAAGGATATACCATACATTTTTTATCGTCTCTAGAGATCTTTGACAATGGATGGACTTTTTCAAGTTTTTACACCCGCGTATCTACTCGCGTTGATTCTGCAGACGCGTTCGCCGCGGAAAATTTTTCGGATATCTCGCGCTCAGCTAGATCTGATTTTTCCCACGACGAATCACCCTTTCGAGGAATCAAAACAAAATTTTGGGGCAGACGAAAAGTTTTCCGGGCGAGACACATTTCTCGTTTGCACTATCGTGACCGCGTAAACTTCAAATTCTATATTCGCTATGTTTAGAGGCGAAACGTGGGACACAAGTGTCTTATGCTTAAATTAAGCAAATCGAAGTGTACACGGTCGTAAGCGAAAGGTCTTCCACAAGAGTAGGAATTACTAATCTAACTATCTGGATCTAATCGATTATTCTAACGTCTCACAAGATCATTTGCCATCGGTCTATGTGAAATCAGGTGAAGACGAACTATGCCACAACAAAGACTGATATATGCACGAGACTGTCTACTGCGCACATAAAAAGCTCCGGGAATTATGCATCATCGAGATCACGCACACAGTTATGAAACACACCTTGAGTAGAGTATGGTCGATGGAACGACTTCTCTTCTATTGGAAAACTTGAGACCATGAACGATACTGACTTCTACTACTTTACCAAAGATACTATTTTTAAAATAGAACATTGAATTCTGGAAAATATTTAAAAATCTTTTTTTCACTATTTTAAATATGCAGTAAACATTATCAAAGTTTATTCCGTTTTATTTTACGAGCGTAAATCGAAATACTGACAGTCTCAATTTTTTTTAAACAATCATGTCCTTCCACTCTCTCGTACACACTCGCATTCTTTCTCTACGAAAGCTGCATGGTTCACCGCGATTTCTCATCGACGCCTCAAAAACTATCGGTCGGGTCGGTTCACGCCATGTTGAAGACCCGGAAGCTGGATGCAGTCACAAACGATCTCCAGTTACGAACGACTAAAAAGAAACACGTTCTCGAGGGGAGAGGGAAGAGATCGTAAATAAACGAAAAATGAATCGCAAAATTAAAAGAAAGTCGAAACCAAAGAGCTCAGGGCTAGGTTGGTTGGTGTCAGTCGGAAGTAAAAGACTCTGGGAGGACATGCTGGGCTCTCCTGTCACTATTGCTAGCGGTTCTCGGTTGTCTAAGGGGTGGTTCAGGGTTCGGTTTCTCGTGTGTCCAGGGACATTTTTTCGTTGCTATTTTTTTCTTGTCTTCGTTTAGTGGAGTTCGTAGTTCAAGGGTTGGTTCGAGGGTACAAATATATGCGAGTATATAAAAGTTTTCTGGAGTTACAAGAATATATCCACTGGAGGAATATATATATATGTATATATAATAATGTACAAATAGATATGTATATATAATATACGTATATAGATATAGATAATATATATATGTATAATATAAATACGACACACACAGAGAGCATGCGACACGCACGACAGGTGGACAAAATTACAAAAAAACGTAATAGATATCCCAAATAGAGTAAGAGAAACAGACTCCTTGTGAATGAAACAACGAGAATTCGAGACAAAAACGTGAAAAAGGAAAGTAAAAAACACGGTCATTAAAAGAGGGTCAACTTACCTCGAGCAACTGTTGATGTCGGATCTCTCGTTCCCGCCTCAGTACCTCCAGCCTCTCTGTTTTCTCTTGTTCTTTAATCAGCCTGCAACAGCAATGTGGAATTGATCAGTGAATAAATTAGGATGAAATTAATTATTGTCCCTCGTTTTTAAAACAAACTGTGTAAGTCATATATGCATATATTGAACAGTGATTAAACTGCATATCACAAGAAGGACATAATGAAAAGTATACGGTACGAATGTTAAAAAGGTTAATGACAAAATATTGTTCATTGCATTTTGAGTTTTTGATGGACTGTCTGATTTACCTAGCCTGTTCCTTGTGCCGCTGCGCTTCTTCTTTCGCTAGTTTTTTTGCGTACGCGAGTTTCTCCCTTTCGTACTGATTGTTCGCTCGCACGTCCCTAAAACCACCTGCAGCTCTTAACTCCTCCAATCTTCTCGCCACTTCTTGAGCACCCAACCTAACGAATTCCGCCTCCGCGAGGCCCATCGTCGGCTGTAGAAACTCGCCTACTAACGGACGAGACGAGAACGAAAAGTTTGCTGTTGTCAACTCGGGCGGATTCTGTTGCTCCAAAAACTGTAATATAGAAATCAATTTCGTAATCGTACAATGTCTATAAAAATTTTCCAATACATCCTTTGAGTCGACATAAATAATGTTGAATATTATGACAATCTTCTTATTAGTAAAAAATAGTTTTGAATACGAAGTTGAGATGCGAAGACGAATATATATAAAAGAAAATCTATTTGTATAACACAAACTCACCTTCGCCAAATCCGGACTGTTCCTGAATGTCTTTCCACAAGGACTATAATAAGACACGTCACCCTTTATCACCCCCGACTTCCCTAATCCCTTGATGACGGTCTCCCTTTTCCATCCACGCTCGAGCGGCACCTGAAGATCCCTCTCGCTCGGTTTCATCTTCCTCCTTTTTGCGCTAGACACGCCGTCGACGTTGTCATCGTCGGTGTCCGTCACAACGTCGGTGTTACTACCGCTCTCACTCGTAACGTCCATGTTGCTCTCCTCACCGGACGCCTCAAGCAGTTTGTTCTTCATCTTCTCCTGCAAAGACCGCTATATAGGAAGCATGGCTTTAGTGCGAAATCATAAGAGAAAAAACAAAACACATCTGCGTTTCTCTCGGTCTCTCTCCTTCGCTTCTTCCCGTGAGTTGCTCGTAACTCGTTTTATAATCAAATTTATCGAACATAAATCAAACAGAAAGTAAACTGAATCTTCAAAAAATTAAATCACTTAGTTGCAAATGATCAGAAATTAAAAGAGGAGAATAAAACAACGGAAAATCGCATTGACAGAGCGTCACCTAATTTTTACCTGATTCTTATCGTCAGTCTGACCAGCACTAGTATGCAGTTGTGCAGCTAGAATATTGGACCTTAGCAGCGAGACTTGATGAGACAATGGTACACTGGGATCCAAGGTAGGTGTCGGTTTAATTCCCAGAGCCCTGCTCTGAGCGAGGAGCGAAGCCACGGTGTTCTTCTTCGGCTTGGACACCCCACGTCCTAAATTCCTAGGCCGACCGTCTTTGTGATGGGTCGTGCTCGCACTTTCGCTTTCCTCGCTTCCACTGCTTGGCCGTTGCGGTGAATCTGCTGCGGCGAACAGTTGCGCTAACGACGGACTCGGCGACGCCGGCATCGGCACAGAATTCTGGGGCACCCTCCGAGGCTTGGGTCCCGGTTTTCTTCTCGCTATGACAGGATCAATTTAAGAACGAAGTGTAATTAAACAATTGAACATCCACGTCAGAACACAATCATTGACAACAATTATAAAATAATCGAATTTTAACTTTCACTTACATGTTCGATCGGAGGCAAGTAATGACTGGCTTAAATTACTGAGCTGACTGAGCGGTTGACTTCCAGAAATCGGCGAGCTACCGCTCGTCGTCGAGGGTTTCAGCGAGAGGTTCAACGGCGCATCCGCATCGTTGGAACTATTTGCATTGGTGGTCGTGTACGACGTGGGCGCCGATAGAACGGAACCATTCGTCGAGTGCGCTGGCAATTTAATAACTTCGACACGATCTACTGATTCTCTATAATCGTTAGATTCGGTCTGCAAAAAATTGAAACGCTAACGTTGTACCCGATGTCTTCAGAATTTCCCCGAACAAAAACGTCTTTCATTTTTTATTACAAATTGTGCCGTCTCTTGCTTACCGCTGTGCGATTGTACTTTTTCGGTTCCATCATCAACGACGCCGTTGTCGTGTTTGTTTGGTGAGCGCTGAGTGCAGGCACCGGTGGTGGATGCACGCTCACACTCGGCGTGTCCAAGGATATGGTCTTCTTTCTTCCGCGATTCGTTGTACCAGGAACCTTTGGACCGACTATACTCGACGTGTACTTGATGATCTCCGTGTCGGGAGGTAGTCGCACACCCCCTAATATACTGCTAGGATCGCTGGATTAAAAATAATCATACAGGTTACTCAACTGATCAATCTGATTCTATTCTATAAGATTTGGAAATACTTTATACTATCATACGTATTCGAAAACCCATTAAGGACACTGTCCATTTGTAATTTTTATCAATTGTTATGAGCGTAATTTTAACGTACAGACAAAACAATGTCGTATAAATATAATTAGTGCCTGGAAAGGGTTGAATGCTCGCTTTGCGTAGATGCCTTTTTATCACGAGAAGTTTAAATATATTAAAAGCGACAGAACGGTCGACTAGTTAAAGGACAAATTGTTTAAAACGGTGGAACGTTAAGGGCCATCGAGCAATCATAACAACGAAATTACACGGTTACAAGCACCGCATGAAAGTTAAATGAACGGGAGGGGAGTAGTAAACGCGAAATTATAGAGAGAGGGAAAGAGGAAAATATCATTGAATTGCGAAACAACGAAAAACGAATCTACGAGCATCTGTTTCGTTTAATTTTATTTCGTTACGCTAACTTTTTTCCGTCATGCCGTTATAATTGTTTCGTATTTTTTCATTCTTAACAATCTCTCACCTGCCCTCTTTCGCAGAACTGTAGGCGTATCGGCAAGCGTGGAAAAATAATTAATGGAAAACGGTAAGTGCGCTGTAGACGCGGGGGGCGTCAGTAGAAAAAACAAGTAATGAAAAAACTGGAAAACCATCGATATAACGAGCGTGAACACTCGTACCTGACGACATTCGTTTGCGAATTCGACGTGCTGCTCGACGACGTGCTGTGATGAGAGGACGTGACCGGTGCTTGTGTCGAGACCGGTAAACTGCTGCTCGTCATACTCGGCGTCGTCGAGCTACTACTACTGCTCGCTGGCGTCTTGTGACTCTTGCTTGACTTAGCTTTAATACATAAATTAAACTTTCATTTTTCTGGTCCCTAAATGCCCGGAAGAATTCAAAAGTACCAATTCATCCTATCTCTAACACGAAGTATTAATAGATTTTGAAACATTTTTGCCTAATTACTTATAAACCATAGAGATTGATATTGTGTACTGTTTCAAAGTATTGATGGACTGAAGGCTTGATACTTACACTTACTGGACTTGTGAGATGATAGGGACGGGGGATTAAGTAGAGAGGCAGGATAGGGTGGCAGCAGGCTCTCGGCACCAGGTGGAAATCCTGGCAATCCTGCCGCTCCTTGTAACCTTGCGAGGTAGTCCTGGGCCGCCAAGTGTGAGGCCATTGTCCACCATGCTGCACTGGCTGGATTGATACCTAAGCACAACCAAATATTTATATAAAAAACAGATTCATTTATTTCGTACACTGCACAAGGCTTTCAAAATTATATGTTTGATATTGGACAATATACATATTATATGAGAGAAAAATAATAGGAGTAGAGGAAGATTACCTAAACTAGCGGCCTGACTGGCAGCTACGCTGAGAGTACCAAGGCTGCTGTGGGAGTATGGGGGTGGTGGTGGCGCGGAGGCCGGTGTGTGGCCTCCGAACCCGGGTGCGGAGCCTCCACGGCCCAGGATGGCGTAAGCCGAGGGCAAATGATGGGCCCCCAGCCCATATCCGCCTGGCATCCCGCCGAAAAGCGACGAAGTTGCGCTGTCACCTCGAGGCCAATAAGCTGCAATCAAAATAGTATCGGCGTTGTACAATTAAGTACATATGATTCATACATAAACAGAGGAAATTAGTTGTGTTTCAATATTTCTTGATAAACATTAATGCAATCGTTTATCAACATAATATATTAGCTCATAGTTCATAAACTACTTTTTCACAACGGTGAAGTAACAGATAATTAATTTATCTCATGAAGACTTCACCGATCAACGTTTTATATTTCCTTTCTAAATCCTCGCAGGATTTATTGTAAAGAGATTAATTACATGTTGATTATGTACATACTTAGATAGATACTCGCGTGCGCACGTCGAATGATTAATGTTCAGTAAATGAATAAATGACAGAGAAATTAGCGTCGTAAAAGAGCATCGACTTGTTCTGAACAAGGATTTAATCGTGAGATTTACAACCTTGAACGGTACTATAACCGCGCGGTGTTACAACCGTTTGAGATAACAAACTAAGTAACTTACGATTAGAACTTTCAACGCTCGGTAGCTACGTGCCTACCACGATCAATCGTCGTGGTTAATCGAACCTGACCTTCGATTGGACTAAGAGTAAACTTCATTACTCATTGCATTTCCGTGAAATGATACAAACTGTTAACTTTGTGAGATACATATCTGATAATTAAATTGTGTATTTTAGGCATTAGTAAAAAAATCAGTACAAAATAAAGAGTACGTTAAATCAATTCTAATGAAAGCCTGACACAATTACTAAGATGATCTAAAAAAAATTATTACATTTCTACATTTAATTAAAGAAATTATCAATTTCACTGATACCTAAAGCAAATATTGCAGCACTTTGATTCACACTCGGGTAATAGTTTGCTCGCTAAAATACAAGCGTATCACTATCAGCAGTTCGAGTTAATTAACTAATTTTCTGCAACCGTCATGTGCAATTGATTTATCTGTTAGAATTAAATATAATCAATGTAATAACGATAATTCAGTACGAGATACTAAAAAAGTCAACGCGTTCGGTGCGATGAAAAATATCTCTTTGTAAAAGAAGAATTAGTCCGCCGTCCAGATACTTCGTACTCATTACGCAATTATGTTAATGGAGACTCGAAATAGAAATGCCGCATGCATACGTTCCATGAAAGATATGGAGAATACGAAAAAAGCTGTTCAAAAGAAAAAGCAATACTTATAATTGAAATTAGAAGATTACACATTTTTCTTATCATTCTCTTCCTTATTTAGAGCAAATCGGTACAATGACTTATCCGAAAATTTGTTTTTTAACAGACTGAATGCTGATTCACTCACACTTGTCTATTTGGACTTGCATGTGTTTATATTAGATCGGTGGTGAAAAATAATTATACTCTTTAATGCAATTACTATACTATTGATACGATGTATTTAGGAGAAAATTGAATGTGCGGAAACTATAAAGGTAACGGATAAAACTACTGAGATTACTAAAAGCAGAATGCACATTTCAATATTTAAATGATACAAAAAGAATGTTTGCCTAAAACATTTTTTTTTAATTTACATCATAAATGTTGTAATTTTCCATTAAAATAAGTAGCCTAGCATTTACTGAATTCGAAAAACGTAATTATTTTTACTACCTAGTACAGTCTATTGTTACAAACGCGAACGCAAATATATGTACCGTTTCTCCGAGTACCACGGCCTTGAGCAAGGCCGTGGCATTGAAATCCAAGCGCCGCTTTAATTTATACAGGTCGTTGAACCCTACGAATGGCTTACACGACTACTTCACCGACTGAGCAACTGCATAATGTTGTTGCGTATACGTATATATGTACATACATATTTGTATGTATATATACAGGGTATCTGCGAAATTGTGGTACAACCGGCGAGGGGATGATTCCTCACATAACAGTCTAGTGGAAAACAAAGAATATAGTTTTTTCATACGGGGCGTCATATTCGAGAAAATCGAGTTTTTAACTGCTTCGAATGCCTGAACGATATTACCTTTTAATTGGTCCAGATTTTAATTATTTTCGGCATAAATTATATCTTTTACGTGACTCGACAAATAAAAATCTAAAGGAGTACACTTTTTCTGATGTTTCAGAACTTCTGCATCTCTTATATCATTGACACTGACGTGTATACTTTGTACAGACATAATAATACCGTAAAACATTAATTTATTACCTTAATTTGTGAGTTTGTAAATATAAAGTTTCTGTGGAAATTGGAACAAGTTTCGAAAACGTTAATGAGAATCCGTGGGGAGTTTGATCCGCAAATAATTTTGTGAACTATGTAAAACGATACCCACTCGGTTATGATCGTTCATTTGCAAATTAGACTCTTGGGATTTCCCCGATTAATTTTTACCGCAGCATACAAAATTTCTTCTATTAATATTAAAGGTTAATGAGCCAGCGGAGTCATTTCGTGCTTTCCTCTTTAACGCAGATGCTTTAATGGTAATTCGTTAACCGAGCGCGTGAAACAGAGACCGAACGTCAGAGAACGTTAAGTCGGTTCGCCATTTTTGCAATCACAGTGCTTCTGTTAACTCATAACGATTTTCGATTCAATCAAACACAGATATCTCATTTATACAAAAAGGACTTGCGTTCCGATATGAAAAGCATTACACAGAAAGCTTGCACGATCTGTCAATTAGAGAGAGCTTTATAATTGGATATTTCAACCATCTTCTCGCTATGTAAATAGATCGAGCGGAACCTTTATGGATTTGCGTAACGAAAAGAGATTGAAGAACATTTTAATTTCGTATATGCCCGACATTTTTGTAGTATATTTTTCGTTTCTCTGCTGAGGCAATAAGTAACAAGTCCAGAATTAACGGTTTTTGACTAGGGAAAATCGAAGAAAGTAAGATGAAATGCTATTATACGGGAACGGGGTTGAAAAATTGAATGGTGTGAAAGATCAGAGAAAAATGTCTCCTCAACGTCTCCCAGAGCAGACTCGAGATCGTACAAATCGGTATTCCTATTTGTTCTGGAAAATTCAACTAGAGAGATCATTTTCTGAGCGAAGATAAAGCATCGGGGCGGACGCATCTCGAGTACGTGATGCGTCACGTTTATCGATTTATGATTAAGCTTTTGTCTAACTCGGCCAACTGCTGGTATAATCAGTGGAAACTTGAAAGAACTTAAAATGATATAATATTCAATAAATCTACGATTTTTTACTGTAGGACGTATCATCGATGCTCAAGAAAATAAAGACCTATATTTTTCATTACTTAGACACTCACTGAGAACTAATTTTAAAAAATATTGCAACAATTTGCACTAGGCAAATGAATAACAAACTGATAACATGTTAATTTCATTAAAAATTACGGAAGGACAACTTGATAATTGTGTATTACAATTATATTAACAAAAAGAGATCCGTAATGCACTTTAGTCAACAGAAAAAGAATTTGGAAGAGTCTGTTGGAAAGCCTAATGGGCAAGAAGGACTACAGTAGTAATTCACGTTGGAAAGTTGCGAGAGAAACGCGTCACCCTCATCAGAGCGGAATAAGTGAAGTACAATCGAGGGTGGACGAAACGCGACGGGGCCATTGATAGGTCCGCAGCAAAAGTCATCACCCCCGACTTCGAAAATGTCGCCTTAGGTTGGGTTCACACAATTGCTATTTCTAGGGATGTCCCACCGTGTCTCGTGGCGTCGAATAATAATTTTAGAGAGAAACTTTCACACAAATAACGTCCGTAAAATTTAACGTGGGTAACATCGGCGACGTTCACGATAATTACGACGCACGCACATTGAATATTCGGACGCTGCGTTGTTCATTTTATAATAGAACTAGTTAGACAAAAGCGTTTAATTAGCGTCTATTTTCAATATTATAGATATTGTAATGTTAATATTAGAGATTGTTAAAATTTGATAAAGTTATACGGACGATAGACAAGAACGTCTGTGAAATCGGCGCTCGTGTGACCTCGGCTTAACTGGAAGCGACAATCGCGTGCGCGTCTCTAATTTCCTGTTTTTCCATGCTTGTTAATAAAGGGCCCATCCATAGTAACGGGGATGAGGGCGGCAGACGTTGCATTGTTTTTCCGCTAATCGATGGCCACGCCGAAACGAAAATACTCCACCGTTAAAATCGTTCAAATCGCGCAATAAACGTCCACGACGAAGCGGAGGTCGACCGGTTATTGCGAGGCGTGCGAGCGTAGATATTTATTCCAAGACAGATTCGTCGACCAGCCGATTTTATGGCGGCGTAAAGGCCATCTGCCGCGGCGACCTGCGATTTGTATCTGTCCCCCCGTCGAACCGGAATCGCTTCGATATATGTTCTGATCACCGTTCCAAATTTTCATAAAAATTATTTTCATTTTAAACAGACTGGTTAAGTTTCTTTTGTCGTTCATATTAATGTATTTCGTTTCCTATCTGAATTAGTCTAAAATTGTCTAAGGAAGATAAACAACTGCAAACCACTGTGTATGGATAAATGAGACCGTTCAACAACTACGGAAGCTTCACCGAGCTCCCTAACTCACTTCATCATGCTATTTTAGAGATGCCGAACCAGGAAAATTAGTCAGATATCGAGACACGGTCAGTCCAGCATTGTCCGGCGTAACAACAAATCTCGATGAGTTCGATGCAGAATCAACTAGAGAACGGACCGATAAGAGAGACGAAACAAGCTAGGAGAGACGAGAGGAGGATCGTGGGTGTAGGAGCGTTACGGAGAATGTGTTCGGTCTGTGAGCCGGGAAAATGGCCGTGTTATTAAATCGATCGCCGGTCTCTGGCCAGTGGGGGTTGAAGCTAGGCCAGGGGGCTCCGAGAGGGAGACAAACGTACCTATATGTATAACCCGTGTGCCACGGGGATGATGAGAACTCGATAGAAAGGGACTTGGAAATTACGAATGACTCCTGCCATGCTTATTCGTCACTACCGGAAATCGATGTCTCCCGTTTGCGAGTTTTAACGTACAACGCATAAGCGTAATTGTTCACCGCTGTAGCGTGAA